GTTTTTTCTACTCTCTCATCTCACACTCCTCTGAGATCCTGGTTCATATGCTACCTCCACTTCTAGCTGAGGTCATGTAGCCCTCCTCTGATCTTTAATATTTGACCTGTTCACTCTTTAAAGCCCAATAAACAAAGCTTTACAGTTTCTCCCTTACTAGTAAGAATCTCCTTGTTTAACCCTTGATACTTCTCACAATAGTTAACATAGTACTTTAACTAGAGATGTAAGGCAACATGGTAGCAATTTAAGACTGTGACCTTTAGCATCAGGCTGCCTAGGTTTGAATCCCAGAAGCAACTATTTTCAGGCTAACTGACCTTGAGAAAATTGCAGCTTCTTTGTACCTCAGTTTTCTCAGTAGTAAAATGCATATAATAATACAACTGCACTGGGGTTGGGAAGATTAAACTAGGTAACGTACTTTAACTACTTAGCACAGTGCCTTACAGTGTTAACTACCATATACATAGCAATTGTTATTAACAACTAGGTTCTAACTACTTCTGCCACTCACTGCATGACTCAAGAAGTGACAGCTGCTCCAAGACTGTGAAGGGACAGATTTCCTATCTGTTAAATAAAAGGGTTAGTCTAATCTCTAATTTTCAATAAAGGTATGATTCTCTGAACTCTGAAATTCTGCCGTATGGCCTAGCCACCCATCCTTCATTAGTTATTATTACTATTTAGTTAAATTAATTGAACAGTAATTTGTTAATTAGCATTATATGCCAGCCACTGGATATACTGGTAAACAAGACCAAGGCCATTCCAGGCCTTAAATTCAATCTAGACAGGCTGCCAAGCCCTTCCAGGTCAAGCAGAGGATAGAAAGTGCAAAACTTTGTTAAGTGAAAAAATTTTATAAAACAAAACCAAGTCAGTAATAACAATACTGTACTAACCTTTTTTAAAAAAACAAGTAACTTTTCTTACAGGGCCTCTTAAAAGCATCAACTTTAGAACAATCATCTACCATTGCTGTTTCTTAGCTTTTCCTTATTTTCAAGAAGGATCTTCATATGTTCAACAATTATTTACTAAGCACCACCACCTTTTAGGCCCTGTGCAAGATTGCCATGCACAAGTTTAGAGAGTCTCCATCATCAAGGAGCTGACAGGCTAGTGAAGCAGTGCCCTCTCAAAATATAATGAAAACAATACAGGCCATATTAAATTTCCTAGTAGCCATGTTTAAGAAAGTACAGAGAAAAAAATAAAGTTTATGTCAATTATAACCAATACATCCAAAATTTTACCATTTCAACATGCAATTATTACCCCCCCCCAAAAAAGATATTTTTCATTCTTTCTTCCATACTGTCTTTTTACACGTACAGAATTATCTGTAAGCTTACACTTAAAAAGCTTATGTGGCTGTATTGGACATTGCAAGACTAGTAGGAAATGCCAAATAAGTTAACTAGGATTGTGGTCTCAAAAACTCGCCCCAGCTTTACTGGTTGGGGCAGGGACGGGCAATGCAGAAGTGAATGAAGGAAACTAAAGGGGCTTACCCATCAAAGGAAGAGCTGGTGCAATCATACACCATCTCTCGGTTACCCTTCATCTGTAGGTATGCATCACAATTGTCACAGCCATCATATTCAAACTGATCTATAGTCTGGAAGAAAAGAACAAGGAGGATGACGAGCATGAACGAGGCTGAACGAAAAGGTGGCTTTCTCAATACTCCCACTTGGCTAACTTTTTGGTTGCCTAGATTGGCTCTGTCCCATCAGGTCCCCTACCCACCAATCCCAAAACTCCACTCCTAAATTCCATCCTCATACTCCTTCCTCTCTTGTTCCCAATTTTGCTCTACTTATTCCCTTCCCTAATCTCCTCAAGGTCAGGCAACCTCTCCACTATTCTGTCAGCTGCAGATCCCCACTTCCGACCTCTGCCAGAGCCCTTCAGCTCCAATTAAGTTCATTGAATGTCTGTTAAGGGCTAAGCCTGTGCTAAGAGCTCAGGATTCGAAGATATGTAAGACGGCCATGCCTTTAGCTACCAAGATTCGTATGCGTTCCTAGCAACGCAAGCAACAGCCTTCTTCGGCTTCCCACTCTCCCAGGGTCCTCGACCTTACTTTTCTCTTCATCGTTCCCCAGCCCCACTTCAAGCATACTCTTTCCCCCTGCGCTTCTACAACCAGGTCCCCGACCGGCACCTTGACCAGCGAACACAGCAGACAGGCCCGCAGATGCCGCAGGTCCTTCGGCACCGTCTCCAAAGCCATCTTCTCCGACGGGAAGAAAACCAGCCAGCGGTTCCACCAAGGCCTCTTCACTCGCAGGAAGTAAACAGCGAATTACCCAGAATACCCAGCACTTCAGGCGTTACGTGCCGCGAACTTCCTCTTCCGGTGTGTGAAGCTGCCGGCCTGGTCCCTCTTCCCCCCCGCTTTAGGAGATGGTGTCTTCCGCCTGAGAGGCGGGGCCGGCCCAGAGTCACCTGGGCCGGAGCGCGCTCCCGGCACCTGGGTTGGCGCGAGGGCGAGGCCGAGGCTGAGGTGGAGACCGAGGCCTAGGCGGCCATTGGACCGGTTGGCGGGAGCCTGTGAGGGAGGGGCGGGCGATGCGGCTGGCACCTGCGCGGGATCCCGCAGGCGCGGGCCATTTGATCTAGGCCTCTGGCACCAGGCTGTAGGTACCCTTACAAGGATCCCAGATGATAGCTGAGATTCTTTTTGTCTTCCCATTTGAAAAGCGTAGGGGCAGAGAATGCACTGTCTCCCTCCGGATTATGTTCGCAGAGAGCGAAAACAAATCCAGGGACGGCCCCCACCCGTACTACCTAACTGCGAGAGCTCTATTATAGAGTTTCCTTTTGCCCTTCACAGGAATGTTGGTCTGCGCCCGGCCGGCGGGGAGGGAAAAAAAAAAAGCATATTATTTTAAAAGCTCTTTATGTACGATCACCCTTTCCAGCTGATAAATTATATTTTATGCGGCTTTCAGCATTTAGACACACTTCTTTTGCTTTTTGCATCAGAACATCTGCGGGGGATTAAGTGTCCTTTTTTTTTTTCCATTTTACTCTATGGGAAGCTAAATGCCTTGCTTTCTAGTTCAAAACTGAGTAGAGACAGCAATTTCCTCTACTAAACCTTTCCCAAGAAGCCGAAGGAGAAAATGTGCTTTGTGAGGAAGAAAGTAAAGGCCTCTCCAGACCTTGTGGAATTTTCTTGATGCTGAAAATAGTCCTGTGCGTAGGCAGAGCCACAGTCATTCGTGTTTATCTGAATTGAAGCTTTGGGATACAAAGTCTGTGTTCTATCCTCCCAACCAGGCCTCTTAATTGAAACTGAGTTTCCCTCAAGGGCAGGCCCACCTCTTGTTGCCCATCCCATCCTGTGTTCAGATGGGCTCTGTGACTGAGGTTTGGATGTTCTCTATCACTGAATAGTAACTTTCCACTTTGGAGCACGTTTTCACTCTTCCGTATCTCATGGGAGACCTACAACAACTCTGTGAAGTAGGCCCATTTTACGGATGGAAAACAGGCATAGATAGCTTACTTGCCCAAGGTCACAAAGTAAGTCACTGAAGCATCAGTACATTAAAGTGAAAAGTACAATAATAGTAATAAAGATACCTGACAACTGACGCATGATGAGAATCCACTCAGGCATTTGCCCTCCCTTGCCTCACTAAGTCATGCCAAGCCCACAACTCCCCCCATCCTTTTGTAAATCAGAACCTAGTCCCTGATATCAGACAATTTATTTCTGTTGATGTGGAAGGAGATGAAGTTGAATAACAGCCATTACAAAACAAAACCACAAGACCAGATTGTATTTGTGGATAAATATATTAGCAAATAAATACATTTTCAACGTAGTGCCTGATTCAAGCGTCTTTCTGTCTGGTTCAGATATAAATACCCATGTGGGTGCTTAGGTGCTAGTCTCTCCACTGACTTTGAGGAAAGTTCCCAGGTGGGGACCCTGTGCCCACTATGCCCCCACATTCACATTCCAAATGGGATAAATGCCTGAGGGGCCAGCAATGACCAGGCTGCCCTGGAGTGAATGTCACCCTAGGGAGGCCTCTCAGTCCTTGCCCACTCGGGTACCAGCTGCCTAGGCCAGACTTCCGCTCTAACGTAACTCTCGCATGCACCTGCTCCCTGTGGGTCCCTACCTATATGGCTTATACTGGGGAGCTAGGCCTCTGGGCCCTCCAAACCCAAGGACCACATTTCGCTTTCCTTTGTTCTCTGCTCCCTATCCCTGCTCTAAGAGAAAACATTCCTTCTTGTCCTTCATGCTCTGCTGCAATTCTGCCTTTTCTACCTTCATTCCATCCTGTCCTTCCAGATGAAATCCTGCAGAAACCTTCTACTGTCCCTCTGCTCTGGGACTTTGAGACAGGACATCTCTAAGGAGAGTCTTTCCCTTCCCACCTCAACTCTACCTGCAGCCTACAGAGGAAATGGAGCTGCAGGGGTGATAAGGGTGTTCCAAGTTCCTCAATTGTCCTGACAATTTAAGGACAATAAGGGAGGAAAAAATGATCCCTTATGCACCAGAGGAGGCACTGCCTGGAGAAGCTGCAGAGACCCCCACCCCTACTGCCCCTTTTTCAGGGGTCCAGGCTCATCTGTGCTCTTGGTGATGAAAAATGATAGAGCTGTTGTCCCTGATGCAGTTCCTCCAGTGACAGCCTTTCCAAGGACAGCCAGGGCAGAAGAAGGAGGTCGAGAAAGGGTCATGTAGTGAGCTGGTTGGTATGAACATTAGGCCTGGGATGATGGCGATCCAGTGGTGCTGGGGAAGGGTCAGCACCTTTGTAATACCCTAGTTTCCCATACATAGCTTCCTGCTCTCAAAAAATACGCTCTTCAAGGGAGCCAGCCCACATGTGCGCAGGCAGTAGCTGGTTGCCTGGCCAGACTAAACCTGCTGCTGTGGACATCTGTTCTGCAGACAAGGGGGGAAACCATCACCCCATTGCTGGGAGCAGGAAACATCACTGCCCACCACCCACCACCCACCATAACCACTTCTCTTCCACTGGCTCCAGGAAGCATGGCACAAAGGGATGTTTGCCGAGGTCCTTTCTTCTCCCAGGAGCAGGATTCTGCTGGTAGCACCCTGAGTCATCCGGAGCACAGTTTTGGTTGAAGCCAAGTCTGAACATCTCACACGGCCTGCTCACACAGCTCCTCAAGCTCCTCCTCTGAGCCTGCATTCAGAGAGAGGGCAGGAAAGAGAACACTGAGGGTCAGGCCAGGCTCCTGCTTCTCCCACCTGCAGGAGAGTGTGACTGGGAGAGGGCCACAAAAGGGAAAAAAGGTTGATTAGCTTGAAAGCTGAGATGAATCCCAATTAGGACACAAGGGAGAGAAAAACGAATATAGACAAAAGGAAACATATAGCAACTAATGTGTTCATAATACTTACTATACATTCATTCACCCAATAAATATTTATTGAGCATTCATTGTGAATCTGACTTGCTGCTCCTCCCCTTCTCAAAAAAAAAAAAAAGCTAACCCACAAACAAAACTGCCATTGAGTCTGCTGCTATGTAGCAAATAAACCAAAACCAAACAAAACACACAGCCATCAAGTTGGTTCTGACTCATAGTGACCTTTAGGACAGAGCAGAACTGCCCCATAGGGTTTCCAAGGCTGTAAATCTTTATGGAGGCAGACTGCCTCATCTTTCTCCCATGGAGCAGCTGGTGGGTTTGAACCACTGACCTTTTGGTTAGCAGCCAAATTCTTTAACCACTAAGCTACCAAAGTAAATCCAAAAAGAATAAGCAGGTATCTAACAAACTTGTAAGAGAGAAGGTGTGCATGCCAGTAGCTACTAGCCAGAGGGAGAGGACTGGGGCCCTAAGAGATATATCAAGGAAGGAGAGAGACTGTGTTCAACTGGAGGAACCAGGAAAGACTTCCTGGAATTGGGGATAAATGAGCTGAGCCTGCAGGAATAGGTAGGAATTGGATTTATGGGACTCAGGGAAGGCAGCAGGATATTCTGGTCTGCAGGAAGTACAAGAAGAGTTTACACAGTTTGGCTGAAGCATGAGGTGAGGGGACTAGCAGAAAGTAAGGTTGGGAAGGAAGATCGGGGCTAGTTGGTGCTGGGACCCTGAAGGTCAAACCAGGTTGGATTTTTCCTTATAGTTGACAAAACAGAACATTTGAAGCTTTGTGGACAATTTCTTGTGAGGAAGAGAACACTGGCAGCAGTATGGACAGTAGGGAAGCAGAGTAGCTGTACTGAACAACTTCCTGGTTACCACATTCAATGTGCAGTCCCCAGCCTTCATGCCCTATTAAAGGGAGGGGGGAGCTAGGCATTTGCTGCATTGGTGTTTAGGATGCACCTAAGACATGGGTGAGAGGGGAATATGGGAGAGATAAGCAGAGATATGGTTAACAGCACCTGAAACTGATTGGATACAAGAAGTAGGGAAAAAGGAAGCAACTAGTTTTGAGCAGAAACTAGTTTTGAGCTTGAGAGACAGGAGAGGTGGTGGTCTAGACATGGAAATACAACAGGGTCCTACTGGAATAATCAAACACATGGCCAAAGCTTCCAGATATATGGCTCTATGAAAGTAATTATCTTCGCTCTGTTTGCATGCCTGTATCCCCATGGACCAGGATCTCCTGGTTGGCAAGTTCCATATATTTTCATCTCTGTATATTCAAAGCCTGGAACTTAGCACATAAGAGCAAATATAATATATGCAGAAGGAAGAAAGGAAGGAGAGGGGAAATGAATGAATGACAGCATCTCTCAAATTCTGGCTGTAAGATTCCTAGACCATGAGTTCTTATATTTCAGGACCTTTGAATGCCCTTTTGGGGTGGAAGGATACTCCTTGCAATAGTTGTAGGCAGGAAGTTGTGTGAGAAGATAGAAAAGGAATAGGAGGTGGAGGGCTCTGGAAGGGGAAGAGGAATATTTGGGCAAATAAATACAAAGTTAAGGTTGAGAATTTAAGTTATCACCATTGGTTGTAATACAGCAACATGGATGCAGTAGGCCACCAAGGAAATGAGGTTGATCTTATTAACAAGAGTGTTTGGAAGGGCAGCCCTCCTGAGGAACAGAAGACCTGAGGACCTGCAGGGCTGCTAAACTTGCTAAGCAAGTGTGATCTTGCTTTCTCTTTGTATCGTTCACACAGTTCTTCTCACATGGCCTAGTATTATGGTTATCTGTAATGAACTCTCCTATAAGATCATGCTCTCCTCAAGGGTAAGGGACACTTCTTGGCCTTCTTTGTATTTGGAGCTAATACTGAGCTGTAAACACTGGTACATCTGTACCAATTGTCAAAATGTTGACGTACTTCCACTTGAGCTGTGGCCCCAACCACACCCATGTGCCTCTCTGTAGCTCTAACCTCCCCTGGGACCACCTTATGATCTGGCAGAGCTGGGGTGCTCCAGCTGGCAACTTACGCTGTGCCAGTTTTTTAATAATATAAATGTCACTCCTGTTGTATCCTTCTCAACTTCTGTCAGCCCCTTGTTGGTTGACTTCACCCATTCTGCAATATCCAGCTTCTCTTATTCTCCACTCCCCCCAACACCTACTCTCCATGAAAACTCACCAGGCTGGGCTGGCAGCACCTGGCAGTGTGGGTAAGGGCATGGTCTGCCCTCTGTGGTGCCAGGACTCCATTCGGAAGGCCCCTCCTCAGGCGGGTGTGGCCCCAGGGGCCGGCGTGGCGTCAGACACAACCATACTGGCTGTGACCTTGAGTAACAGGAGTCCGATGTTTCTGGTAGAAGCCTCCTATGTAGGCCCGAAGGTCCGAAGATCAATGAGTGGGCCTCTGGGGACCAAGGGTATGCCAGACTGGGGCCATAGTGGGGAAACACTGGGCAAGGTGGGTGCATAGTCAAGTCCTGGGGCCGAGAGATTGGGGTGGACTCTGAGGGACCCCCTCGCCGTTTCCTCTGTGGGTGTCGGGCAGAAAGGCTGGATTTCTGTATGTTGAAAAGGCTGCTGGCAATGGGGTTGGGGCTGGAGGCTTCAGCTGGGCCAAGGGCTGGCTCTGTGAGAGCCTTAGGCCTCTGTGGGTTAGGGAGCTGCCCTGAGGGAGCTGGTGAGTTGGATCTGGTGGCTTGCTCACCAGAAGGTGGCTCCAGCTGGAGATGTGTCCGAGGAACACCAGGCCTGGACTGGGGGGCCCCAGTTTCTGGGCCAGACTTCCTGCCATGCCACTGGAACCGCTTTTTGTAGTGGTGGTGCCGGTGGCGGTGGTAGTGGATGTGGCTGGTGACCTGGTTTTCCCCTGTGGGCACCACCGAGTCCAAGGACCTGGGACGAGAGGCCACACTAACATGTGTCTCCTCCCCTTGGACCTCCCCTTCAGGGCTGCAGTAGACCAAGGGGTCAAAGTCACTGCTGAGGGAGCTGCGGAAGGTGGAACTGCTGCCGTGGATGCCTTGCAGGCTGATGTCTGTGCAGTTGACTACCGAGTCACTGGATGAGCCATGACAGGGCCCTGAGCTGGAGTCACTGCCTGGCCCATCTGCCAGGTAGCCGCTGCGTTCAGTGCAGTAGCTCTCCCCAGACCCGCTGCTGTCATGAGGCCTGGTTCGGCGTGGGGGCACTGGGCATGCAGCAGGTTGCTGTGAGGTACATCTGAGCCGGCTCAGCCCCCAACCCTGCGCATAGGGAAGCTGGGCCATTGCTAGGCGCTGCTGCTCACCCGGAGGCCGGGGAGGTGCCACTCTGGGGAGGCGGGGGTGCCGAGGACCCAAGACTGGCCCCTGGGATGGGAGGAAGGGACCAGGTCTTGGGGGCCGAGCCACTGAGCTCTGAGAAGGGCCCAGCAGATAGGCAGCAGGGAAGTGATAGTGAGCGTGACCAGGATGCTGGCGAATGAGGTGGAGTCTGCGGCCTGGTTCCTGGTAAGTTCTAGAGGGTCCCAAGGACTGGGAAAATGTGTCACCCTCTGGGGAAAAAAATGAAACAAAAACAAGAACATTGGTGTCTGACCACCCAAACATGGAGGCTGCATTGAGAAAGGTGTGCGATAGCTAACCCATTTGATCCTGTATAGCCTATGAGGTCAGTCAGAGTTTGGGGGACCGAAACTCCAAACCAAACTCATTGCCACTGAGTCAATTCTGACTCATAGCAACTACAAATCTTTACGGAAGTAGATTTGGCCATCTTCCTTCCACGGAGTGGCTTGTGGGTTTGAACCACTAACCTTCTGGTAAGCAGTCAAATGCCTTAGGCACCAAGGACATCCCTAACCTGCAAGTGCCCTGGGACTCCTTCCCTCCCTCCAGCCAAGTCCATCTGCCCTGGGAGTCCCAATATATGTGTCAATTTCTGCATTCCCACCAGCCATTTGGGGCTCTTTCATCCAGGGCCACTGCTAGGCCATACTGCACCTTTGGGTGAATTAGAAAAAGGTTCTCATTCCTCAAAATACTTCACTTTCATCTTTTAGAAAATCATCATAGTGATTTTATCAGAATAGAATATTTACTGCCAGAAAATGGAAGTAATAAATATACAAATACCCCAAATTTAGAATCAATAAAGTTGACATAAAAATACAAATAATTCAAAAGATAGTAAGGATATCTACAGTGTGAATGGCTCCTCTCTCAGACAAAGCACTCCTGAGCAGTGCACAACTTAAGCAACCATAGTGACAGCTCTAGTTTCTCCTCAGCTTCAAGGAGGGGCCCTTCCCCAGAGAGAAACCATGTTCTTGACCCATCTGACTATGCATAGGGGAGTCCTTGGCCCACCTCCTACCTACGATGTTGAACATGCAGAGAGGGCAAGTCCGATGCTGATGTAGCCAGGGGTCCACACAGGTACGGTGGAACTCATGGAGGCAGGAAATGACCCGCAGCTCCTGGAGAAAACAAGGGTGTCTGATCCAAAGGTACCTGTAGCTTTAGGAGTGGCCAGGAATCAGAATACCTCCCCTGACTCCCTTTGGCCTCTCCTCTTGCTATAATCTACTTGCAGAAGACCTCATGGTAGAATAGAAAAGGTATGGGTTTTGGTATCAGGTATGCATAAATTTTGCCAGTTAGCTATTATTACATTGGGCACATTTCTGCCTGTAAAACAAGGATAAAAAAATGAGCCTCCCCCACCCCTCACTGTCATGAGGCCAGCATGGAATAATGCATCTAAAGTACCCAGGGCAGAGCCTGCCCATGGCACACTTTCAACAAATAGCAGTTCTCTGTCTATAGAAGGCCAGGACAAATACCAAGCTTCAGGGCTCTGCTCTACCTCTGCCCAATGCAGTATACACAGGATACAGAGGTGGCCAGGACAACCACACCAGCCTTAAGTCCACCCACCCCACACCCACACCCCCCACCTCCCGCCTAAAGCTGCATTCCTCCTCTTCAGCCTGGTGATGGATGTGAACCACAAGTCTTGCCTTACCTGCCCCTCAGAAAACTCCTCCAAGCAGATGGCACACATGGGGGCTGAACTGCAGGTGCTACCTGAGTCTGGCCATTCAGCCCGGGCCCTCCTGCAGCTGGCCCTGTACCTCCTGGTGGCCAGCTGGTTGATGGCCCAGGCTGTTCGCTGCTGAAGAGGCTCCTGACAAGAGGGGCAGAGCTTAGAATGAGGCAAGACTTTCTCTTCCCTCACCCCTGAAGCCCCTCTTGTACTTGGTTCCCAGTCAGTCAATTAGATCACATGGCCAATTAACTGCCTCTGGGACTCTGTTTCTTTGGAGCACATACATGACTCTGCCAAGCAGGTCAAGGTCTCCCAACCCACCCTCAGCTCATACCAATAAGCTTTCCTGTCCTTGATGACTGATGAGAGAAACTTTTTGTCCAACTGCCTTCTTGACATCTTAATTCAGATGTCTAATAGGCAGGTCAAACTTTCCATGTCCAAAACTGAACTCCTGATTCCATTAACCACCCCCAACCACACAACTATCATCCCTAGTCTTCCCCACCCCAATAACCGGTCATTTCATTCTTTCAGCTGCTCAGACCAAAAATTCTGATGTCGTCCTTCACTCCTTTCTCTCATGCCCCATCATTAATTCACTAGTAAACTTTTTGGCTTTGCTTTCAAAACATACCCAGAATCTAATGATTTTTCTCGACCCTTATTGCTACCACCCTAACACAAGCTACCGTCACTGTCACCTGGATTCCTGTATTAGCCTCCTATCTGGCTTCTCTATTCCCACCCTTAGCTCCCAGCAGTTCATCCTCATCACAGAAGCAAGAGTGATCATGGTCAAACTCAAGTTAGGCCATATCATTCTTCTACTCAAAATCTTCTGATGGCTTCCATTTCACCCAGAGGAAAAGACAAAGTCATAACAATGATCCAAAGAGTCCTATACAACTTGGTCCCCATGAACTCTCTGTCCTCGTCTCCTACTGTGGCCTCCTCCCCCTCACTCTGTCCCAATCACACTACTTCTTGCTGCTCCTCAAACACATTGGGCACACTTCTGCCTCAAGGCCTTTGCACTTACTCTTCTCCTTGTTTAACTACTTCTTCCCCAGGTATTTGCACAGATCACTCCCTCACTGAGTTGGGGTTTTTGCTTCAATGTCATCTTCTCAATGTGGCTTTCCCTGACCTTGCTTTTATATATTTCTTTTTAATTTTTATTGTGATTTGGGTGAAAGTTTACAGAACAAATTCATCTTCCATACAGCAGTTCACATACACTTTGTCTTATGACATTGACTGCAATTTCCCACAATGCAACAGCTCCCCTCCCACTTCCTCCCCATACTTACCTCTTCCCTATGTCCTTCCCTCCCATGCACTCCTGACCCTCAAGCTGTATCCCTGTGCATACACAGCCCTTCTATTCTACCTTGATTGATCTCTCCAAGGAGTCTATCTACCTAACATAAATGTTCAGCTCATATGTCTGTCTTTTATTTGGCTGGAAACCACAGGGTGGGTTCAATTCCAGACCTGAAGGGTATAGTCTCAGAGGTTCCACCAGTCTCTATCATACCAGTAAACCTGGTCCTTTTTTTTTTTAATGATTTTTAGTTTTTTTCCACATTGTTCTCCCACTCTATCCAGGATCTCCTACATAGATCCCACTCCAAGTGGTTGACAGTGGTGGCTGGGCACCATCTAGTTCTTCTGGTCTCATAGTCATATAGGCTGAGGACTGCATGCTGTACCAGTCCCTTGGACTAACTGGTTCCATGTGTCTTTGGTTTTCTTCATCCTTCTTTGCTCTGGACAAGGAGAAACCCATCATTGCATCCAGATGCAACCTTTTAAGATCCCAGTCACTACTCACCAAAGTAGGATTTGGAACAATGTTTTTGTGTAATATGTTATGCCAATTGAGCTTGTTGTCCCCTGCGACCATGGTCCCGAGCCCACAGTTTCAACTACTCGCTCCATCTGGGTAGCTGGCTGTGGCCAAGAAGTGACTACAACCTGTCCCTTGTCAGCCCCACTATGCACCAGGGAATTCTTACAGAACATTCAAACACACTTGTAGAAACACTGTCTGCCAACCCTACCTAAACTTGGTCATGGGCACACCACCCTCTGGATAGACATACCTAATAGTTCAGTCCCTGGCCTTGTTTTTAAAAATTAACCCTGTCCACCTTGTACTTCTCCCCTTATCTATTTTATTTCCCTCTTCAGCATCTAACACTATCTAAAATACTATATATTTTACTTATTTATTTTGTTTACTGTCTGTCTCATTCTATTAGAATAAAAGCATCTTGATAATATGGATTTTTATCCCTTTTAATCACTGCTGTATACTCAATACTTGGAACAGGGCCTGGCACATAATAGGACCTCAGTATGTTTGCTGAATGACTGAACAAATGAGCAAGCCCATGGGGAGAGGCTGCTGGAAATCAACAAAGACAGATATGGAGGTATTTGGAGATAAACTGTTTTGTGGGCATAAAGGCACTTTCCTACCTCACTTCACTTTCCTGTTCCCACCCTCCCACAGACATACACACGCCCATCTCCACCAGGGAGCCCACACTGCTCACCGGCCTGCTGCGGCGGGGGCGGCACCGGATACGAAGCACTGAAGCCAGGATGACCACAAAGATGGTGCCCACCACAGTCAGGAGGATCCACACATCATAGTCTGGCTGGGGGCAGCAAGCAGAGAAGGAAAAAGGTCATAGTTCTGGAGGAAGCTGGGCCAATTTGGGAGGGAACACAGGATCCCAGGAGACACACAGAGAACTAGAGATCTCCTTGGGTCTTCCAGCGGGAGGAATGCAGTGGAGATGAACCTGGGGTGGGGTTAGGCGATCCCTCTCTGCCCAGAAACACTCATAAGAAAGGGCTCTCTAGATGTCAGCTGTGAAAAGTACTATCTGAAAACCTGGGTGCTTGGGAAAAAGGGGAAAGGGCCTCTTCTGAAGGTAGAAGTAACCCACTGAGCAGGTGGGTGAGTGGAGAAGCACCAGCTAAGGCTCAGAGGCCAGAGTTTCACTCTGTCTCTGTTACTCCATGCCAGGAAGCCACAGAGCTGAAAACAACTTTAGAACTCATCTGGCTCTGTTTGTTTCAAGACGCACAGCTGGATCTCTGAAGGGGTTCTCCCTCTCCCTCTCCCTCTCCCTCTTGGGTCAGGAGGATTTCTAAGGTCTCTGTCAACTCCGGGTGTCTATGGGCTTTGGGTGGGGGTTACCACAGGACAAAGGTGGGGGTGAGAGTGGGCGCTGGGGCAGGGTCTGGAGATCCTCTGTGCTTACCCATGCTGGGGGCTCCTTCAGCTCAATCCTCACGTGGGCCTTTCGGTTCTTATACACAAACTCCATCAGCTTCTCAGCATCATGGCCCCAGATCAACACCACTGGCCAAGTCAGCCCTAGGGGCTGCTGCAGCTGCAAAAAGGACAGTGTCCAGAGGGGCTCCCGTGTCCTGGCTTCTCCATCTACCCTGCCCTCTCCTCAAATAGCCCTAGGTCCCCGGTACCTGCTCAGCAGCAGCTCGATCCTCGGTGATATCAAAGAGGACAGCGCTGGCTCCTCGCTCACCTGCCATACGGGCCTGCAGGGACACACAGTAGAAATTTGGTTGGGGACAGGGAAGAAGACAGCTCATCCATGCCGTAGTCTCACCCCACATGCAACTATCCTTTCCTGGATATTTTACACACTGGAACTCTGCACATTCACATATACACATGCAAGTGCAGGATCCCCCTGCCCTGCCCCCTGGGCTTACCAGGCCTTCAAAGGACAACATTCAGTTCTTCATTCCGTAATGCAACAAACCCTTACCAAGAATTTACTGGGTACCAGGTGGTGGACTAGACTCTAGGGTCAAAGAAAATATGAACAGTCCCTGTCCTCAGGGTTCTATCAGTCTGCCTTGGCTAAGTGGTGTGAGAACACACTATAGAGTGAACTCCCCCCCACAGGAGTGGAGAGTGACCTGTCCCTGGGACAGAGTGGGGATGCGGGGAGAGCTCCTTTAGAAAAGAGCTAGGCTGTCCAAGGGCTACCCCTGCCTCACATGAGAAGCTGTGGGGCATCTCCTTCAGCTCAGGCTAAGTAGCAAAAGCCTGGGACACTGCTCTCATCCAAGGCTTCCATCACAAAGCTCAGCGTCAGCCCCTCTCATTGCAGTCTCTCCCTGCATACTCAAGTTTGCCAACTCTTTCTCTGTTCCTGTTTAAGGTAACTTAAAGAAGTCCCTGTCTAGTGCTTTATCTCTTCATCATCTCTCCTAAGAAACATGGGCGGGGAGGGACTAGAAACGCTCGGTTCACCAAAGGCCAACAGGCAGAGATGCTCTGAGTACAGAACGCAGCAGGCTAGGAGAAGCAGAATGTAGCCAAGCAGGTGGAACAGATAGCAGTGTCAGGAGAAAACAAGAAGCAGGAATCTAGGGATATGTGTGGGGTTAAGAGAAGGGAGATAAGCGCTGAGGGTGGGGTGGAGGCCCAGTGGGCAACGACCAACGGACAACACAGTAGTGAGCTGCTCCCTGCCTAGTGTTGGTCCCCTCACCCAGCAGCTACTCTCCAACCCTCCTCCCTAGAGCAAACACTCTTCTGGTAAAGGGCTCAGCCTGGGATTTCAGGCCCTCAGGGCTCCTGCTGAGTCTTTGGGCCTTCCTGCAGGCTGTGAAGGAGTTAATCCTGCTGCCAGTAGTGGTGGCAGGAAGAGCAGCCAATGTCGGCTTACTCACACTCTCAGCGCTTTGATCTTTGCGTCTTAGGGAGAGCCTGTCAGGGCAGGCCAGCTCAGGAGGGGAGCGGCTGCCACTCCCTGGGGCAGGCAGTGGCCAGGGGGCCCCTCAAAACCCACTGCCCTGAAGGCAGGGGAGCACTGGGAGGGTGGTGGATTCCTTCTAGTGGGGCTCCATTTTGGTCAGGAAAATAACTTCCCTCCTGCTTCTCTCCCTCCCCTGGGAGCTGGGCTGGGCACTCTACCTCCACCCAGGCCCGGGGCTCACTGGGCTAATTGACTGGAAATTCACAGGACTCCAGAGTGGAATTGAAGAGACTGAGAGGTCACAGCCTCCATCTGCCCCACCACCCACTTCCTCCCAGGAACTCTACCCATCCGAGGCCATCCCAGGCAGATAGCAGCTCTCCAGTCTTCTGAGCCCTCTAAGGAGCAGTGTTGTTGTTGTTGTTATGTGCCCTCGAGTCAGCCCTGACTCATAGCGACCCCTCCTTGGGTTTCCGAGGCAGTATCACTACGGAAGTAGGATTGCCCAACCTTCCTTCCGA